ACTTTCAGTGTACTTGATCTTATTATCAGTACTTGACCTTATTATCAAACACACTGTCTGTACTTGACCTCATTATTAACCACACTTTCAGTGTACTTGATCTTATTATCAGTACTTGACCTTATTATCAAACACACTGTCTGTACTTGACCTCATTATTAACCACACTTTCAGTATACTTGACCTTATTATCAAACACACTGTCTGTACTTGACCTCATTATTAACCACACTTTCAGTGTACTTGACCTTATTATCAAATACACTGTACTTGACCTCATTATTAACCACACTTTCAGTGTACTTGACCTTATTATCAAATACATTGTCTGTACTTGACCTCATTATTAACCACACTTTCAGTGTACTTGACCTTATTATCAAACACATTGTCTGTACTTGACCTCATTATTATCCACATTGTCTGTACTTGACCTCATTATTAACCGCACTTTCAGTGTACTTGACCTTATTATCAAACACACTGTCTGTACTTGACCTCATTATTAACCACACTTTCAGTGTACTTGACCTTATTATCAAACACATTGTCTGTACTTGACCTCATTATTATCCGCATTGTCTGCACTTGACCTCATTATTATCTGCATTGTCTGTACTTGACCTCATTATTAACCGCACTTTCAGTGTACTTGACCTCATTATCAAACACATTGTACTTGACCTCATTATTAACCGCACTTTCAGTGTACTTGACCTTATTATCAAACACATTGTCTGTACTTGACCTCATTATTAACCACATTGTCTGTACTTGACCTCATTATTAACCACATTGTCTGTACCTGACCTCATTATTAACCACATTGTCTACCTGACCTCATTATTAACTACATTGTCTGTACTTGACCTCATTATTAACCACATTGTCTGTACCTGACCTTATTATTAACCACATTGTCTGTACTTGACCTTATTATCAACCACATTGTCTGTACTTGACCTTATTATTAACAACACTGTCTGTACTTGACCTTATTATTAACCACATTGTCTGTACTTGACCGTATTATTAACCACATTGTCTGTACTTGACCTTATTATTAACAACACTGTCTGTACTTGACCTTATTATTAACCACATTGTCTGTACTTGACCTTATTATTAACAACAATTTCTGTACCTGACCTTATTATTAACCACATTGTCTGTACCTGACCTCATTATTAACCACATTGTCTGTACCTGACCTCATTATTAACCACATTGTCTGTACTTGACCTTATTATTAACCACATTGTCTGTACCTGACCTTATTATTAACCACATTGTCTGTACTTGACTGTATTATTAACCAGTGTCTGTACCTGACCTTATTATTAACCACATTGTCTGTACCTGACCTCATTATCAACCACATTGTCTGTACTTGACCTTATTATTAACCACATTGTCTGTACCTGACTTCATTATTAACAACAATTTCTGTACTTGACCTTATTATTAACCACATTGTCTGTACCTGACCTCATTATTAACCACATTGTCTGTACTTGACCTCATTATTAACCACATTGTCTGTACTTGACCTCATTATTAACCACATTGTCTGTACTTGACCTCATGATTAACCACATTGTCTGTACTTGACCTTATTATTAACAACACTGTCTGTACTTGACCTCATTATTAACCACACTGTCTGTACTTGACCGTATTATTAACCACATTGTCTGTACTTGACCTCATTATTAACCACATTGTCTGTACTTGACCTTATTATTAACCACGTTGTCTGTACCTGACCTCATTATTAACCACACTTTCAGTGTACTTGACCTCATTATTAACCACATTGTCTGTACCTGACCTCATTATTAACCACATTGTCTGTACTTGACCTTATTATTAACAACACTGTCTGTACTTGACCTTATTATTAACAACATTGTCTGTACCTGACCTCATTATTAACCACATTGTCTGTACTTGACCTCATTATTAACCACATTGTCTGTACTTGACCTCATTATTAACCACATTGTCTGTACTTGACCTCATGATTATCCACATTGTCTGTACTTGACCTTATTATTAACAACACTGTCTGTACTTGACCTCATTATTAACCACACTGTCTGTACTTGACCGTATTATTAACCACACTGTCTGTACTTGACCTCATTATTAACCACATTGTCTGTACTTGACCTCATTATTAACCACATTGTCTGTACTTGACCTTATTATTAACCACGTTGTCTGTACCTGACCTCATTATTAACCACACTTTCTGTGTACTTGACCTCATTATTAACCACATTGTCTGTACCTGACCTCATTATTAACCACATTGTCTGTACTTGACCTTATTATTAACAACACTGTCTGTACTTGACCTTATTATTAACAACAATGTCTGTACCTGACCTTATTATTAACCACATTGTCTGTACTTGACCTTATTATTAACCACATTGTCTGTACCTGACCTCATTATTAACCACACTTTCAGTGTACTTGACCTCATTATTAACCACATTGTCTGTACCTGACCTCATTATTAACCACATTGTCTGTACTTGACCTTATTATTAACCACATTGTCTGTACCTGACCTTATTATTAACCACATTGTCTGTACTTGACTGTATTATTAACCACAG